AGCAGGGTCAAAGCCAACTGCCAGGATTTCAAAGGCTCTCAATCCTAGTAGATGGGCTGCCAGTGGAGTCTCAATATGAAGAGTGATCTGATGGTACTGACCCACACTGGCTGCGGTAGGACTGAGGTACCTCCTCTCCTCTGTGGAGAGCGTCCTCAGGGACCATGTAACCTACATGATGAGCAATCAAGACTCTAAGAACCAAGGGACCTGCTAACATCAAGACAGAAAAGCCAGCTGTAGACCACCCTCCTTTGGACCCAGGTCTGGAAACCTTCAAGACCCAGGTGAAAATTGATGCCAAGACACAGGGAGATAGATGTCCAAAGAATGCTGAAAAGTGGACGCGGATCTTCCTTTTAAACTGTGAGGCAAAGGACAGAGAAAGCAGCCGGAGCCCAGAATTCAGAAGTCTAGCCTCCTAAGATGTGAGAAAAGAGATTCCTATTTGTTAAAGCCACACAGCCCCCTACAAAAAAAAAAAAAAGACAACCTTGCAGCCAATCAAGCCTACACCCCACACCTTTGGATTTTTCTGCCACTCAAAATCCTGACCTCTGGCGAGTCCTTGACATCTGTGAGCCTGAATGCAGTTCCACATCTCCTTCCTGGTCCCACAGTGTGTGCTGATCACCCCACACCTGCCTTGAAAGTGACAGCCACCTAAATTCAGCCTGACAGGGCAGAGCCTGGCCTTTAGGACAGGGGAGACAGAGGTCTACCCGGAGGATGAATGTGCTTGTGAGAGGAGGGAACACAGTTGTGCACAGGAACGCGATCCCCTACAGTTCACAGGAACGTGCAGTCTTACTCAAGTCTGGTGTCGGCTGCGCCCATGGAATGCTGCCGCTGGACACATTCGTTTTTATTTTGGTTTTATTTTGCATTCTTCTTGAGGAATTCTTTTGTTTCCAAAATTCGAAACTGAAAACTCCAGTCAGAGGTCGAAGGAAAACAACACATAAAACTCCTCCTCTGTGTAGAGAGCCTCCATGTAGTGAGGGAAACTGTCTGCAGCTATCCACTGATCACAGAGGTGGCTCTCAACAGGCCTCATTTGGAAGGAACCCAGTAGCAAGGCTTTTCGGCTTACCCTTATGTATGATGAGTTCAGTGTAGTGAATTATTGGGTGGCTCCTGCCAATCAACATTTTCCAGGTGGGTCTGGGTAACAAAGAGTGGGGAAGATACTGATGTGTTATATGATTCAGCTGGAGTGACTATCAACAGGGAGCCTGGTCACTGGTCGCTTTTGCCATCCTGCTTCTCATCTCAGCCGCGGAAGCAGGAACTTCACTCCAGTAGAGAAGAGCCAGGCGTGGAAAGCGTCCTCCGGCCCCTAACATGCCTGCACACAGAACCTGGCCCCTGACATACCTGCACACGGAGCCTTTCTGACCCAGAGACAGAAAGGTGTGACACCCGCCGGAGGAGCAAGGGAGCAGCCAGCCAGTAGCAACAGAGCCAAGAGCCAGAGCACAGGACAGCATGCTAAGCTACCTAGCCCTTGGGGCAAGTAAAGCTGAGGGGTTTTGGGCAGGAGGCTTGTTTGCAGAGTGGGGTGCCTCAGGCTGAGGCTTATGGTCAGCGGTGTATCCTGTGGGCATTTTCCAGCCACCTAAAAGAGCTTTATAACATTGCCTGCTAGATGGAGACCTGCCTGTAAACACAGCTTAGGAGAGGCTATCCTGACTGGAAGACCCTGAATATATCTAACCCCGAATTGTAAACTGTTAACTTCCCTATAATCATGGGTATCTGCTCTAAGTTCTGTGTGGTCATTGCAATGAATTATCTAAGGCTGCTGAAGAGACTGTGCAGTGGGCAGAATGATTGGGGCCCTTTTCTGAGGTGATTGATAAGATATAACTGATATCAATCTGCATGCTGAGCATCAGTAGTGAAGGAAGACTCATTAATAACCTGTGATATGCAGATGAAACAACCTTGTTTGTTCAAAGGAAAGAGGACTTGAAATACTGATGAAGATCAAAGGCTACACCCTTCAGTATAGATTGCACCTTAATGTAACAAGATGAAAATCCTTACAATTGGACCAATAAATAACATCATGATAAACATTGAAAAGAGCGGAACTATCAAAGACTTCATTTTGCTTAGATCCACAGTCAACACTCACAGAAGCAGCAGTCAAGAAATCAAAAGACATATTGAATTAGCAAATCTGCTGCAAAATATCTCTTCAAAGTGTTAAAGGGCAAAGATGTCAATTTGAGGACTAAGGTGCGCCTGATCTAAGCTATAGTATTTTCAATCACCTCACAGGCATGTGAAAGTTGGCCACTGAATAAAGAAGAACGGATGCATTTGATTTATGATGTTGGAGAAGAATACTGAAAGTACTATGGACTGTCAGAAAAACAAATGAATCTGTCCTGGAAGAAGTACAGCCAGATGCTTCTTAGAAGTGAGGATGGAGAGGCTTAGTCTCTTGTTCTTTGGGCATGTTATAAGCAGAGGCCAGTCCCTGGAGAAGGACATTATGTTGGATAAAGTGGAGAGTCAGCAAAAAAGAAGATCCCCAACCAGATGGCTTGACAGTGACAGCAACAATGGGCTCAAACATTGAAGATGGTGCCGTACCGGGCAATGTTTCATTCTGTTGAGCATACGGTCGTTATGAGTCAGAACCAACTCAAGGGTACTTAATAACAACAGGTCTATGATTGAATATGTGATACATATGATTGAGATATGATATGTGATTGCGACTATGACGTTTAATAGATGATGACTGGCATAAATATGATACGGGATATAGAGGCATCAGGATTGGAGGAAGACAGATTGACAGCCTGCAATGTGCAGATAATACAACCTTGTTTGCTGAAAGTGAAGAGGACTTAAAACACTTAACTGATGAAGATCAAAGACCACAGCCTTTGGTATGGATGGCATCTCAATGTAAAGAAAACAAAAATCCTCACCACTGGACCAATAAACAACATTCTTATCAATGAGGAAAAGATTGAAGTTGTCAAAGATTTCATTTTTCTTGGATCAACTATCAACACTCATGGAAGCAGCAGTCAAGAAATCAAATGACGTATTGCATTAGGCAAGTCTGCTGCACAAGACCTTTTTAAAGTGTTGAAGAGCAAAGATGTCAGCCTGAGGACTAAAGTGCACCTGACACAAGCCAGGTATTTTCAATAACCACAAATGTGTGTAAAAGTTGGATAGTGAATAAGGAAAATGTAGAAGAATTGATACACTGAAGTTAGGGTACTGGAGGAGATTATTGAAAATGCCATGGGCTGTCAAAAGAACCAACAGATCTGTGTTGGAAGAAGTGCAGTCAGAGTCCTCCTTCAAGGCCAGGATGGCCAAACTACGTCTCTCATTCTTCGGACATATTGTCAGGAGGGATCAGTCACTGGAGAAGGATATCATGTTTGGTAAGGAGGAGGGTCAGAAAAAAGAGGAAGACCCCCCCCCCCAATGAGATGGATTGGCAAAGTGGCAGCATCAATGGGTTCAAGCGTAGCAACAACTGTGACGTTAGCTCAGGACCGGGCAATGTTTCGTTCTGTTGTGCATAGGGTCGCTATGCGTCACTACTGACTCGATGACACTAAAGAACAAGATGGTTGCTAGAAGGTGTTTTCACATATGACACAGTGCCCTTTGAGTAAACAGAAGAAAATCAAGTCTCTAGCCCTCACTCTTCTGCAACCAGACAGCTTTACTTCGTTCACCTTTTTTGGCCAAGTTTTACGCATCTCTACCAGTTTGGTCTCTCTTCTCTAAAGCAGAATTCTCCTCTCACATTCTGTTGCATACTAATGTCAGCTGGGTTGCTTTTGAGACCTGCAATGCCTAGACTATCACCCAAACAAACGATATCAGACTCAGACGCAAGTCAGAACCAGGGTTTATAAATTCTCCCAGGTGATAAGGTGGACTTACAGTTTCAACGGTTCCACAGTGCTCACGACCTGACAAGGCTGAGCCAGAGCTCAGAGGTCACTCCCTCCTGCTGATCCAATCTGAAGCTGTGTTGTTCCTCAGCAGCCCACACCACAATAACGTCTCACATGGGGCCCTTGGTTACTCCAATCTCTGAAGTACTGTGTTGATGTTCTGTTCAATCGTTCACACCAGCTGCTACTTCTCCAAGTCTTCATACAATTCTTGTGCTAAAAACTGTCTGCTTCCAAGTGTGAAACTTTGAGCTAATCCCTGTTCTACTTCCTTCCATGGAGTCTTACCCTTCATGTCTCACTTCTGAGACTTAATCTGATTTCCACTCCAAACTGTTAAGTCAATCAACAAAAGTTCTCATGTCTTCATCCAAGGCACAAGTCGATAGATACCATGATTGGACAAGGCCAAGTTAAAGAACAAGCAAGCAGAAGAGACTTACTAGTCTCTCCTTCCTTCTGGTCATGCTCACCTTGCCTGAGGTCAACCCACCTCTCTCCACACAGGACCTGACACCTGGTTATCCACCGTGAGGAGGACCAAGGGCACTTACCTTCTTCTGGAATGGAATTCTCCTGGAACTGAGGCAAACATTCCCCCGCAACCAACTCCCCTAGATGTCCTATCTGGCTAAGCACAGGGTAATATCCTTAAAGAGCTCAGGTGGTGCTGTGGGATAGGTGCTGGGTTGCTAACTCCAAGTTCAGTAGTTCAAACCCATCAGCTGCTCCGTGGGAGAAAGATAAAGATGTATGTTCCCATAACAATTTACAGTCATGGAAACCCTAGACAGGGTCACAACGAGTGGGAATTGACTCGGGGACAGGGGGTTTTGGAATGCACACCTAACAAAGAAACAGTTGCAAGCATAACTTAAAGGAGGGGCATTAAGCAGCACTCAGGGGAACACATTTTATGGGGTTCTGCTCCTCACGGCCCAGGACAAGCGACCACACCTGGGGGCCGACTAACCGTGACCAGCAAGGCCTTGTGCGGTGGGAGGGAGGTCAGCAGCCGCAAGCTGCAGCCAGATCTAGCCCCCTGGTGATACTTACGTGATGGTGTCGATCATGTCGAGCCCCATCTCCACGCAGCAGTGGGCGTGGTCTGCCTTGGGCTGTGTGAGGCCAGACACACAGTAGTAACAGTCCCCCAGGATCTTGATCCGCCGGCAGTGGTTCTCCTGAAGGGGAAGGGCAATGCCTACATGTTAAGGCAGCAGAAGTTTCACAGGACTGGCCCCCAGATGCCCGGCTAGACCTTCATCTTTTCCCCACCTAGCGCCTGGAATGAGAGTTGTGCATCTACCAGGCCCTAGCCCAGAGGCAGCCCCTCCCTTCAATGCATGCAGAACCCAACACATCCCACACTCCCCTCCTTACAGGTTTCTCTCTATCTGGTGCATCCACCCTCACCTACCTCCTACCATTAACCCTGGCCTCACCCTGTATTTCACTTGGTCAGACCCTACAGACCCTTCTAGCCCAGCAGAAATGCCAGCTCCATTGGACATCTCCCCCAAGGACCAGAGCAAGTCTTCTTTCTCTGAATTCACACAGCGCCAATCATAGCATGCCTGCCTTTCTGGAACATGCTATATCCTCAACAGGCAGCCACTTCTCCCTGACTGTTCAAGCACAGCACGTAAGCCACAGGAGGGTCTAAGCAGCTCTTGGGAAAGGACTCGCGAGTCCTGAAGTAAGTCCATGTGGTGAGCCCTGACCCACTTCCCTGAACGCGCATCTCCGCAGGACACAGTGAGAGGGCTGACGGCCGGGCCTCCCAGGCCACTCGGAGAACCGAGAACACAGAGGCAGACATCCATTACACCACTAGGCCTATGCTAACAGTTACTGTGACTGCTACTTGTCTCACTTCAAGCAAACAAGTTCTCGACATTGGGTCTCAGGACCCTGTGAAACTCCCACAGTGATTACTGTTGTGGTTAACTAAGTGCCATTGAGTCAGTTCTGATTTATAGGGATGCTGTATAGGGTTTCTGAGGAGCAGCTGGTGGGTTTGAACCACCAACTCTGTGAATAACAATTCAATGCTTATCCTACAGCGCCACACCAGGACCCGCTATTGGTGTTAAGTGTCACTGAGTCAGTTCTGACTCATAGCGACCCTGTATAGGGTTTCTGAGGAGTGGCTGGCAACTTTGAACCTCCAACCTTGTGGTTCGAACAGACCTTATGGTCAAGTGCTTATTCCTACAGTGGCACGCCAGGCCATCAAGTCAACTGTGACTCCTGTATAGCAGGAAGAAATGCTACCCATGTATAGCAGGCTCCACCCTCCTCAGATGTGTTGCTCCATTTGAGTCCGTGGAGGTGCTAATGGCATGTTAAGTGGGCTGTCTCTACTGAGATTCATCACATTAGAAGCTACAAATGAGAACATTTAAGTATGTTTATTCATTGGCTTAAAATTGAAACTAGTATTTCTAGTATATAACATTTTTATGAAAAATATTTTGCACAACAAAAAGAGTGGCATTATTTTAGATGTATGTAAATTTCTTTAATATGTTTTAATAGAAGCCAGCTAGACTGCATTTCCAGCTTCTGCACCCATTTGCTGTGAAACACTGTGCTGGGGTCAACGATGGGTATTGGTCCCCCCCAACACACACATAACTGGACAACACCTGAGAGGGACTTGTATGGCCTTGAAAGATCTTGGATCACACTGAGAACTCTGGCATTAAACAAATCACATCCTCCGTGGTTATATTTAATTTGTGGTATGGCTTTTTACAAAGGCTATTGTTTAAAAAAAAAAAGACACCAAACCATTCCACCCATATCCCTCTTTACTCAGCTAGGTTAAATCATTCATTGCAATGGCCACACAGAACTCAAATACCATACTCAGACTGATGGATTTATTAGGGAAGTGAACATGTTACAAGTCAGGGTCAGAAATGTTGAGGGCACAGTTCTAGTCGGGATAGCCTCTCCTAAGCCGTGCCTACAGACAGACCTCTCTCTGCCCGATGAACGCTACAAAGCTCTTTTAGGCTGCTGGAAATGCCCACAGGGCATACCACCCCACACTAAGCCTCAGTCTGAGGGTACTAGGCTCTAGCTCCATGGATCAGTAAACCTAGCTGCCCCAATTAAATGCCTGGAGGCACCCCACTCTGCAAGCAAGCCTCCTGCCCGAAGTCACTCAGCTTTACTTGCCCCCTGGGCTAGGTAGTCCACCATGCTTTTTTGTGTTCTGGTTCTTGGTCCTGTTGCTGCTGTTCCTTGTCCACTCCTCTTGTGCCACAGCTTTCTGTCCCTGGGTTGAAGAGGTCCAATACACAGCAATTCCAGGGAGTTGGCTCCTGTTGCACAGGTTAGAGTTCCAAGTCTGTCCAATGCCTACACTTCCCAACGCCTTAACGCTCTTAACCACTCACAGATGAATCAAATAGTCCTGTCAGCATCTCCTCTTACCCAGATCCAGCTGGGCAAAAATGTTGTTTGGTGGGAGTTAAAGACTATGGTTAGAGGAGACATTATAAAATCCACTACACCATGCTATAAATTATTTTTGTTGCTGTTAAGTGCCATAGAGTTGGTTCTTACTCATAGCGACCCTGTATAAGGTTTCGAGGAGTAACGGGTGGGTTTGAACCACCAACTTTGTGGTTAGCTGCCCAGTGTTTTTCCTACAGTGCTATGCTAAGATTCCTTAGCATAGCCCATTTAAGACAGGCATTCTCAGATCTCAGTATCCAGATGCTCAAACGCCCTTGACTTTTGCCTGAGGGACCTGGGGGACTGGGAGAATCCGGAGCTAACACCCAGAAAGTCACACAGTAAGGAGTCTCAGCTGACCTTGCAGGCCCATGTTGCTGGCTCTGTCATAGTGGTGAATGGTCTCAGAGTCCTCCCCAAGCCCAACTGCCAGCATCCCATGGGAACATCTCTTCTCCTAAACAGCTCCCAGGCTTGCAAAGTGCCTATCCTCATCCGGGAGGGGAGTAACATTAAACACACAATGGCGGTTACATCCCCAATCAATGCAGTGAGATTGAAACAGTCTCACAAAGGCCACGCCAGGACTATGCTCTCTCCAGAGCCCCTGCTCCTCACAACGGCATGCTGGGAGAATGTCCACAGGCATGCTTTATAGACTGGTCACCCATGGCTCAGACTCAGTGTGACTGCTTCAGGGACCCTGGTTTCTTTCCTATAGGATGGAATTAACCCCACAGGCACCACGTTCAGGCTGGGCTAGGGTTGTTAGGTGCATGATGGCCTAGCTCAGAGCCAGTGCGCCCAGGGGGTGTTGGGATCATGAACTCCAAGGCTAGGCAGCCTAGTTCTGATCCTCATTCTGCCCTGGACCCAAAGGGCTGCCATCTGTGAGGAGGGGACTCAGTGACACCATCTCACAGGCTGTGAGGACTCCAGAGAATAGGCTGTCAGGCTTTCAGCATAGAGGCTGGGTTCCAGGGTTCCAGCTGATGATCATAGTCATGCTCGGCAAAGAAGAGTGTTGTTGTTGTTGTAAAGTACCGTCAAGTCAGTTCAGGCTCATAGTGCCCCTATATAGGGTTTCCAAACAGCAGATGATGAGTTTGAACCATTGACCTTGCAGTTCAAAGCAACCTTGCAATCCAATTCTTATCACACAGCGCCACACCAAGACTCCAAAAAGACTGGCCAGCATGTGGTGGATGACAGTATATTCAAAAGACGGGGCAGACCGGACCGGAGTGGGCCTGCTAGCTCCTGTAGTGCTGTGTGCCTGCCATGTGACACTCATTCAACAGCCCTGGCTGCCCAGAGGTGGCTCATGGCCAGCTCTGATTCCCGCCAAGGATGAGCTGGTCATCGTACAACAATGAGGTCCAGTCTCGAGGGAGCTCACTGGGAGGGAGAGCCCTGATCTAAGCTTCCAGGCCCACAGGGCATGTGGACTTCTCCCCAGCACCGTTAACATGTCTTTCTGACAGTTCCTCAACATCACTGCTCAGCATGAGAGTAGCGCAGAGTCCCCCAAAGAGCTCATTTAGACGTCAGTATAAGGCTACCAGGGTTTGAGGAATGCCAGTCTTCCCCCATGTAGTGCCTTTCTGAGTCCACTTCCTTTCCCAGCCAGTATGGCTGACAAGGTTGAGATATGGAAAGTGCTGTGGGGTCCCCACGTCTCCTCATGGCCTCCCTCATAGGCTGAACCCTCTTCAGCGATCCCTCTGAGTAGCCTATGAAAACCACAGTGCTTGATTCTGGGGACCTTGAGCTTCAGTCCAGGAGGGTCTTGTGGTGAAATATGTTCCCAACCTTCTCTATAACAATGAACACAAGGGGCATGGGCATCACGGGTACCAGGTGACTGTGGGGTCCCCCTCGGCACATCCCCTCCACCTCTACTTTTTGGGCCCATGGCCTGTCCTCCCTAGAGTACCTGAGCCAAGGCCACCTCTCTTCATTTCCATCCCTAGTCAGAGATGTGGTCCCACACAGCTCCAGCCCTACAGCCTAGCGTCGTCTTCCCCAAGTTCTCCACAGTGCTTACACCATGCTCTCACACAGAGTCTGAGCACAGCTCATACTTTCATGCCATCCCCATGGGGATTGCAGTCAGATTCTGCTCCTGGTTCCAGGCCACAGGGTCCCTGAGGGCAAGGCACAGAGCAGCAGACAACAACAGGCTCTGGAGGAATCTACTGAGTGGGCTAGCACATGAAGACACGCTCAAGCTCCTCAAGGACTGGGCAACTTAGAGAGCAGAAGTTTAAACCTGAGAGTTTAAAATACAAATCAGAGGCCTTTGGAGCTACTTACAACAGCCTCATGGAGTCCCAGTGTGGCGCTGTAGGATCATATTGTATTGGATTGAAAGGTTGGTTTGAGCCAGACGATCAGTGGTTCAAACTTACCAGTCAATCCTTGGAAATTCTATACAGACTTGACGGCACTCAACAACACAGGAGCTTCATTGTGACTCTGTTGTTGTTGTTAGCTGCCATTGAAGTCAGTACCAACTCATAGCGACCCTGTGCACAACAGAACGAAATACTGCCCAGTCCTGGGCCAACCTCACAATTGTAGCTACACCTGAGCCCATTGCTGCTGTCACTTGGCCAATCCATCTCATTGGGGGTCTTCCTCTTTTTCTCTGACCCTCCACCTTACCAACCATGATGTCCTTCTCCAGGGACTGGTCCCTCCTGACAATATG